GGGACCCTACAGGATCTTTCCCATTTCCTTCACCCCCTTCCTCCACCCACCAAAATTGTGAAACCTTGTGATCTCATCCCTAGCCATCCTCACCTCTCTGCTCCTACCCCTTCCCTCCTTGGATCCCGGTACACATTTTACTAGTTACTCATCTATTTTTAAAGTAATGTCAAGTCAGCTTCAGATCACAGCAACCACGTCAACAACAGAATGAAACACTGCACCATTTTCTTATTGAATGCTGTGTTGGACACTATTGTTTCAGCCACTGGATCAAGCCGTCTCAACGAAGGTCTTCTTCTTTTTGTTGGCAGGCTACTTTACCATGAATGGTAACCTTCTTGTTCTTCACCAGGGACAATAGAGTTTCAGTGGCAGAGATCCTTGAGATGTAGATCACCAGGCCTTTCTTATGCAGTTCTGCTGGATGGCCTGGAACTACCAACCTCTCAGTTAGTAATCAAGCTGACACACTAATAATTTTGCAAAATGCCCTTGAATTTGACTTTGATTGATGTATTATAGCTTTGGCTCAAATTATGGAATGTTAACAGAAATACCCCAGAAATAATACATGGGCTTCACCAGTACGCTTTGCTAGGAAATATGTGTTGTCAATTGGTCCCACTGTTAGTGGTCCCTTGTTTCTTTCATCAACTATTTAAAGCTGTGACTTCCAGATTCCTCTGCTGTATAGTTTCAATTTTTTTTCCCCACCCTAGACAGGAGATACTATGGAGGCCGTAGGTGGAGGACAATTGAACATTTAATTAACCTACTATTAACATAAAAGGGAGAAGTTTTAACACATTTGCAAGTGCCTCAGAAGAAAGGCAACCTACTTCTAAAAGGTCACATTCTTGCAAATCTTCTGCAATATCATTTTACTCTGTAAAACATGGGGTCATCAAGAAGTGGAACAGACTGGGTAGCAACTGTTTAAGCTGTACAGAGAAAATCCTTGGACTGAGCAAATACTCTATTTCAGTTCCAAAAAAATTCATTGTCATTGTTTTGTTGTTATGTGCCATCGAGTTGCCTGCAACTCATCATGACCCTACGTACAACAGCTCTGAAGCCTGCCCTGTCCTGAGCTTGTCTCACTCACTCCGACACACCTACACCCATTGCCCTAGTCACTGAGTCAATCCATCTTATCCAGGGTCTTCCTCTCCAACACAGTCCCTCCACCCTTCCAAGCAGGGTGTCCCTTCTCCATTATAGTGTTCTATTTTGTTCAGTGCATACCCACAAGAAAAGAAATTGCTACAACCTTTCAGAGAATCAATTACACACTCTACCTAAAAGTCTTTATATCTTTTAACACAGTAAATTCACTAAAGGAAGAAAAAGAATTAGCAAAATGATTAAAGAGAGTTCTTTTCAAAAATATTTACCACAGTGCTAGTAATAGTTTTAAAAATTAGAAATTGTCTACATGTCTTAACAACAGAAAAATGGCCAATTAGGTACAATATGTCCATAAGAATATATTTTATGTGTTAGTGTGCAGGGGCCCAGTTGTGGTAGCTGTGGTGACTATGGGACCATGAAAAGCTACTAAAGTTCCTACAGAAATGAAGTAGAATTTCAAAGAGCATAATGGGTGGAGAGGAGAAAACTTATGGTGGCTGTGAAGGCCAAATGCCATGTATGTAAAATTGATATCTTCTGATGGCCATGATTTATTCATGTAAAAAGAGAACATGCACTAACATCAGAAACAATAAAAGCCATGTTGAGTGGACCAGGTCAGTTTGCTGAAAAGGAAACCAATGAGGTCAATTTTAGAGAGATCCCTTCACACATGCAAGTATTTTACCCACAAGGTTTGCTACACTAACAGTTCCACTGAGATTCCCAAATTCCCAAGTGCACCTAAAACTGCACTGGAACTGCTGATAGCTGTGAACTTCTTAGATTGTTAAAGAAAATAAATTATAATTTTTAAAAAAGAATTTATTATAAGTTATTTTATAACTTATTAAAATAAAAATTTGCATTATCTGTACATCTAAAAACAGACACTTATTAATTAGCTGCAACATATCTATGATCATATAATCTATTTAAATTTTAAAATTTTTTTAAGATCAATGTAAGGTAGAATAACCTAGAACTAACAAATATCAAGCATTTATTCTTTTCCATCCATTCCATCTTTCCCAAGTTTTCCATATGGACTCAGCTTCATTCTAATCCCAAGAACGGGTCTGTACAGCGCAGCCTCTATTTCTCATCTAGTTTCATAGCCCTGATCCACAATTTTTTCATGGCCTTCTTCACTTCAGTATTTCTCAAGGAGTAAATGACAGGGTTGAGAAGAGGGGTGATCACTGTGTAGAATATGGCCACCATCTTGTCCACAGACAAAGTGTCAGACGGCCTCAGGTAGATGAAGATACACGGTCCGAAGAATAAGAGGACCACAGTAATATGTGACCCACAGGTCGAGAGTGCCTTGCGCCGTCCCTCAGCGCTTTGTGTCCTCAGATGGAAGAGGATAACGACATAAGAGGCTACGAGAACCACGAAGCTGATCACCGACAGAGTCCCTCCATTGGCCACAATCAGCAGACCAATGAGGAAGGTGTCAGAGCAGGCAAGTTTGAGCAGAGGAAGCAGGTCACAAAAATAGTGGTCCATCACATTGGGACCACAGAAGGGCAAGTGAAAGATAAGAAGGATTTGAGCAAAGGAGTGTACAAAGCCCCCTACCCATGCAGCTCCCACCAAGACACCACACACTTGCCGGTTCATGATGCTCGTGTAGTTGAGGGGCTTGCAGATGGCCACGTAGCGGTCGTAGGCCATCACAGTGAGCAGAAAAATCTCGGTGCCACCAAAGAAGTGGATGAAGAAAAGCTGTGTCATGCAGCCCCACAGAGATATGACTTTCCTCTCAGCCAGGAGATCCAAGATAAGTTTAGGGGCCGTGGTAGAAGAGTAGCAAATCTCCACGAAGGACAGGTAACTGAGAAGGAAGTACATGGGGGAGGAGAGACTTCTGCTGGTTGTGACTGTGAGCACAATGAGGAGGTTCCCCAGCACAATCGCTGTGTACAGGAGCAAAAATATCACAAAGCAAACTTTCTGCACCTCTGGATTGGAAGAAAGTCCCAGGAAAAGGAATTCAGTCACATTGTGAGTGGCAGCCATGAAGTCACCACCACGAGGTAGCCGTCTGAGGGAGTGACCTGAAATAACACAAACAGGAAGCTCCTTCACTGAGTGGTGAATTACATAATAATCCTTTCTATATCTACACGCTTGTGATAGCAAAAGGCTAGTGAGAGTTGGCTATGTGTAGAAGAAGAAAAAGTAGTCTAAGGAAGCAGAAGAATCAATGCAAGTCTGTGAAAACCGTGCATGTGTAGTTGGAATAAGGGGGAGAATAGCAAAAGAGAAAACTGGAGACCATCTGGGACCAATTGATGAAGGACTGTGGGGAACTTCTGAGTGTATTCTGTAGATTACGGAGAATCATTGGAAACACTAGTGAACAGGAAAGAAAAACTATGTTTTAGGTAAATGTTGGATTAATGGAAACAGATTAGAAAAGGGAAAATCCCTTTTCTTTTACCACGTGGTACAACCAGGAAAGGTTTACTGTCTCCATTCTATTTACTGGTGCCATTCTATTGTCTTTGACTGTTTTTTGGTCTGGGGGTTGGAGGGCTTTTGCAAAAGTAAATTGGGTTTCCATTCAATAATTCATACATGCTATGTTTCCTAGAAATATGGAGATTATAATAAATGCCTTCAAATGTGTTCAACTCCCTTTTACTGACAATTTTTCCTCCTCACCCCTCCATTTGCTCCCTTGATTTGCACACTAGCATTCTTTTTTACTTTGTTTTTGTAGGTTGTTTTGGTTTAGTTTCTTTTTTTGTAGTGGTTTACATACAAAGTTCATAAAATTCATATATGTTGTTTTTCACACGGTATCTTTCCCCTTTCATTTACCCATCCCTCCCTCTACCCATCAAATTGTGTGACCCTGTGATTAATCTCCCCCCCCCCCGTAGCTTGGATCCTCGGACTTGTTCTACAATAATGGTCTTATACAGTATTTGATTGAGTTACTTCACTTAGCATAATGCTCTCCAGTCCCTCCCATGTTAGGTAGTAATTTACAAAATCATTGCTTCTGTGTGCTGCATAGTATTCCATTGCGCACCCTAGCATTCTTGATATTTATTACCCATCCTACCTCTACTTCTTGGAAGCAGAAGTGGCATCCACTTCCTAAACAATATGCCTCTGGAAACTCTATGAACTTTGATAAACTATTTCTCAGTAGTTATAGAGCAGCTTCAGGCCTTTTGTTCATAGGTTCGCTATGAGTTGTTCTTGACTTGATGGCAATCAACAACAACCTCTACTTCTAATTCTCTTCTTCCACACTTGGTCACTTGATTACTTTTCCCTTTCCAAAAGTCTAGTTCACTTCCTACACAATTATTCTCCTTCATTTCCTCCGGTCTTATACCCCTCAGTAGTAATAAAGGTTCAAATCACTCCTCCAGGACCCACTTCTACCCTGACATAACCTTCCTCCCAGGCCTTCCTTCCACACATCTGAAAATATCACCATGACTGTTAACTGACTAGTTCCCAGATCATCCAGTCCTGCATGCTAGACTTTCAAGTTGGCTTGCCTTCACAAGCTCTTTCTTTCAGTAATTGGAACAGCCTTGATAATTAAGCACCATACTCAAGAAGGAAATTACTAATAAAGTTCACAATTAAAAAGATGGGGAGAGAGAGAGAGAGAGAGAGAAAGAAGAGAGGAGAGAGGAGAGAGGAGAGAGGAGAGAGAGAGAAGACAGAGAGAGAGGAGAGAGGCACAAAGATCAGTCCTTTCATCAAGACTTCATTGATGAAGAGGTTGAGGAGAACTCACAACTGCTATGAGTCTATATTCCTGGTTTTCCATCCCGGATTCTTCAAGTAATAGCAACATGACATCTGGAAAGTTCTTTAACCTCTCAACACCTCAGAGTTCCCACCGCAAGGCAGAGATACTAATATCTACTTTGCAGGTCGTCAGTCACTGCTATCAAGTCAGAACCAACTCATGGCTCACCCTACAGAAGGTTTTCAGAGGCTGTGAATTGCATGGGAGAAAGTCCCCCACTGTTCTAGCCACTGGTCAGTTCAAACCTCCAGAGAAACATAATGTTATGACTATCAGTGCTGCTCTCCTCAGACTGCAACACCTGGACTCCATCCACCCCAAAGGGAAATAGCCTAAATCCTACTCTATTCCAGAGTGTTAGCTTCCCAAGCTTCATACTGTCTTGGTTTCCTCTCAGAGGTAGGAAATCCATCTCTTTGCCCAAAGGTCCCAAGATTATTACTAAACACCCCACCACCTCCTGAAATGACTCCACAGATTACATTCAGAAAATGTAAATGTGGAGTCCCTGGTTAGTTCAGCTAATGCCAAAGGGGCTGGTGATTTACTTCTGGAAAATCTACCATTTGAAACCCTACCCTGACATACACAAGGTAATCTTGAGTCAGAATCTAACTTGGCAACTGACCATAATCATAAAGCTAATGACTTGGTGGTTGAACGGGGGCTATCTAGCTTTCCTAATCTTCCTAACACAGTACCAGGTGAACTGAAGAAAAAAAATTCCTCCAAGGACAACCAAGAACAAGTCTTCTCTGGTCCTGAATCTCAGTAGTAATACTGTGCCTTCTTCCACTAAACTCTCAGTCAATGACTAGATCAATGTGATAGTAGTTTTCAAAATGTCTTGTGCTTCTTGCCAGACTCCCATTGCTTTCAAAGTAAAAGAATAACTACTAAATTTAAAAGAAGCACATGATCACCCAACAAAAACCCATCACAGTATTTTCATGCTTTGGCTGTTCTCATTACAGTTCTCTCCACAGAGATACAACTGCGGTCCTGAGAAAAGCTCCCACTGGTCCATGAAGATTTTCCAGTGAGTCAATCTAGACCCATCAAACTGAAATACCTGTCACAGAGAGACACACAGCTGAGAACCCGCTACCTCTGTGGCCTCTGACTCAGGATGCTGAATTAAGCCACTTCAGGACTAAGGCAGAGGACTCTTCCATCCTCTATGCCTCACAAGTGTTCCACAGAGAAATAAGAACCTCAAAAGCTTAACCTTGAATTGAAACTGCTCCAGAGACACTTGGGAGAAAAGTGTGATGATCAGTTGAGAGGTTAGTCCCCAAAGAGCTGAACCAGTTCTCCTTTCTTAATCAGGCAGACTTCCTCTTGGGAAGCATAACCTGATAACTGAAATCTTGGAAGAAACAACAAATTTCAAAATAAATAGTATACATGACAAGATGAAATCTACCAAATGTTCACAGATTACTTGTTTTGTATAGGACTCCAAGCTTTTCAGAAGTTAATTAGATATAATCTCTCCTTATCATAAATTAAACCATATGACTTTATATGAAGTGACACTACATAAAAGGATGGGTACAAGGAATAGAGATCATCAAATTCAGGAACCCTAAATGTGCTACTTCTTGCCTTGGATGTAAGAAAGTTTATAAATCAGTCGTTCTCAAAGGGCTCCAATTGCCCAGAAGATATTTGCCAATGTCTAGAAATGTAGACATTGTGACAGCCTGGGGTGAAGAGGACAGAAGGAGTGAGCATGAGGTGCTATTGATATGTAATGAGTAAAGACCTGGGATGCTGAAAAACGTCTTAAAATGCACAGGGCAGTCCCCTATGGCAAATAACTATCTGATGCCAAATGTCAATAATGCTGCTGTTGAGATGTGCTGTGTAAAAGAAATAAAAATCACCCTGAGTCGATAATCATTAAAACTGAGTGCTGAGTACATAGGGCTTCATTGGACTGCTCTGACCACAGTTACATAAATAGTGTCTTTAATCATGTTCCCTCAAAAATGCAGCTGTTAGTACCATAGAGTCAAGTACAACTCAGTGACCCTGTGAACATCAGAACCTTGCCCTGTCCGGCACCATCCTCATGCTCAAGCCCATTGTTACAGTCCCTGTGTTTACTCACCTTGTTGAGGGTCTTCTTCTCTCTCTCTGACTCTCCGTCTTTCCCAATATGTCTTTTTCCAAGGACTGACCCCTCTTGATAACATTCCCAAAGTGTGTAAGATGGTGTTTCATCCTCAAATATTGGTGTGTGTAATTATGTAATGGTGGCAATCATATAAAGATTGTCCCATAATCTGATAAACCAAGCAATTGTTAAGAGGATGATTCCATCACAGTTCTGATCCTTTAGAAGGAGAGTTTCCCAGAGGTGTGACCTATGATACCTCTTCTCACAAGAAATAAGAGAAAAGTAGCAGAGAAGGGGGACCCTCATAACCATCAGGGCAGAAGAGCTCGAAGTAGGCAAACTCTATGGACTTAGGTTTCTATGCTAGGAAACTCTTGGAACTAGAAGGCACTGAAAGAGAAAACCTACCCCTATATCCAGTGCTCTGATTTAGGATTTTTAACCCCATAAAATATTAGAGAATAAATTTCTGCTTGTTGGTTTTATCCACTTGTGGCATCTTTTTTATAGCAATAGTAGATAACTAAGACAGTTGTTAGGTGTTATCAAGTAGACCAGGACTCAGAGATCCTATGAACAGCAGATCTGAACCTGGCCCTTTTCTCTGCCATCATTAACATCTGTGATATAGTTGAGCCCATTGTTACAGGTACCATGTCAATCCATCTTGCTGTAGGTCTTCTTCTTCTATGCTGATTCTCCAATTTTCCAAGTATTATGACCTTCTCCAAGTACTGGTCCCTGCTAACAAAACGCCCAAAGTATATGAGACTAAGCTTTATTCATTCTTATTTCTAAGGAGCATCCTGATTGCACTTTTTCCAAAACATAACTGTCTGTTCCTTCGGCAATCCATTGGATAGTCAGTACTCTTCTCCAAAACCACAGCTGAGAGGCACCAATTCTTCTCCTATCATCTTTAGTCATTATCAGACTTTCCTAACAAGTAATGAGCAAGACCATGGCTTGAATCAGACACACCTTAGTGTTAAAAATAACATCCTTCTTCAGTGCTTTTGAGAAGTGCCTATAGTAGATTTTCCCAACATGTACATCTTTTGATTTCTTGACTAGTGGTTTCAAGGGTGTTGATTGTGGATCAGAGTAAGATGA